GGGTAGAAATAAAAGTTTGTTAAGTAAAGGGTTGAGGAAACAGCCATGCTTGTGTGACCTACATGCACTCCGAAACACACTTACAAAAACGCTCTCCTGTCACATAATGAGGATGGAGAGTGACACAGGTCCATGATCATGGGATAAAGCACATGCTATACCACTGTCTGCAATCTCAATCTTCCTGCAAGCACTAGAGGTTAGGATTGCCCTGTACTACACCACTTGGCAGCATACGCTACTATTTAAAAGCAACAAGGTGTTTGTTGGTTTTGTGTTTTTTAAAAACTGCACTGAAGGGGGAAAAAAAAAAAAAAGAATCGCCTTTCCTAACCCCTCCTCCCAGTGGTTCTACCTTGGGATATTTGTCTATGTGGACGATGAGAGGGAGGGAAAGGAAGGAGAGGAGGGTATAGATGGGGGCATGGGTGAGTGGCACAGTACCTGCAGAGCGCCTGGGTGCTTGTTGTTTTCTCCTGGGCATCCTGCTGTGGCAGCTTGGGGGTTTCCGCAGGACTTCTCCAATCCCTCTGTGTTCATGCAGGACACGAGGCAATAAAAAGATAAAACAAAAAGAGGCCGGCTCAGAAGATATGGAGGTGCGTGGGAGACGAGAAAGAAAACTTTTGCTTTTCTCAAAGTGTGGAGCTGAAGGGAATGCACTAAAAAGCCGGGTGACCGGGGGGGATATGCCCAAAAGTAGATCGACCGGACTCGCCTCTCCCCGTGCCAGTGGGGCTATACAAAGCTCAGCTTGGCACAAAATCCAGACACACGTTTACACGCTCTGCTTTTTCATGGCAAGTTCCTGTTTTGTAATAAAATATCTTTATTGAGACTTGTGTTTAATGAAAATAGCTGCCTTCCAAAGAACTGGATTTGAAATCAGGACAGAAATCAGAATGACACCCACAAGATCAATTCAAGCAGCAGTCCAGATCCATGCTTTCTGTCCGTGTTCTTCATACAATTGTTCACTGGCTGCTCCCCTAGAATATGGTAAGCGCAGTCACTCCCCCTACAGCCTTTATCCAAGATCAAACAAGAGTCTCAAAAGCTGCAACTTTTCCCCCCTCTGCCTTCAGCTCGTGGGTCTGGGCTTTCTGTGGATTGCCAGGGCTTCTTTCATTGCTGCTTTTTCTTTCCCGGCAGCTGATTGACTCCCGTGTGTCCTTTCCGTCTGAACATTTAATGGCAGATCAGAGATGTAGTAAGACGAGAAGAGCAGAGATACATACACTGGGTGGCTTCTCCACCTTCCAGCATCCCCGGGAATTACTTCCTATTCTTCTTCTTCACTGATCAATGATACAAATGCATGCTGTCAGGGAGAGTGCATTCTGAAAACAAATGCTTTCAGTGCGCTGGAGAGAAGTGATCACGGGCTGTGCATAAACTCCAGGGAGAGGAGGAGATCCAGCGTCCCTCTCTTCTTTTTTTTCCAGTGTAATATAACACACACATTCAGATCCCTGGGCTTCTCAGACACTCTCAACTGATAGACAGACACATCGAGCTGCCTTTCCTGCTTCACTTAGTTACTCCTCCTCCTCCTGCCAACGTCACCCTGACACTTTCATACACATCTCACACAAACCACACCTGTCAATCTATTTAATTGCTTTGTTTTCATTTCTACCATGTCTGTTTCTCTCTCTCTCTCTCCCCCTGTATCCCTCCTTCAAGATAAACAGCAAGACAATGTTGGAAAGAGAAAAAAGAAGAAAGAAAGAAGACTTAATACATCAATAGAATAGAAATGTCAAAGCCCTGATTGGAGACTTTAGTTTTATTTATGCAACTTGCTCATTCAGTATGAAGCAGGGATTGTGCACGTTGTACTATTACAGACTGCATGCCCTTGTGCCGTGGCTTTTCACTGCTTGGCTTTATTTTTATGCGCGGCTTTTGTATTGCACAAAAATATTTACCTTTAAGAGGTACTTGTATGTCTTCTGTTTGTATCAAAGGATGACAACAATCATAATATGTAATCAGGGAAATGCATAAAGAGCGTGGCAGATACTCAGTACATATCGGTCTGGCGGAAGTGCGACAAACAGCGCAGTCACTTGCATGTCATATATGTTTTTATCACAATATAATCTGCGAATACGTAAAGAGTGTCGGAGTTGCTCATTAGAAATCGCCTGGCGTCGGTGTGACAAATGGTGCAACTTGCGACAGATTCATCTAAGTTTACATATATCTGTCGCACGTTGCGCCATTTGTCTCCACCACGGAAGAGGGCTTATTTACCTCCACTTTCCTTGTCACCGATATGCTGGGTTTTTTTATCTATCGGATCATTAGCAACAGATAGTAAAAGTGGTACAATTTGAATTTGTCGCGAGCATCGCCGTAATGTAAATGTCGCACGAGTTTCAGGAATTCTGCACTAGGCTACTGACTACATCCGCAGTGTGAAAAACAACATATTACATGGGTTTGGTGAATAAGCCTTCTATGGCCAGCAATCAATTTACATTTTGCAATAGCTTTACGCATTTGGCGCACGGCTTCCCGACTACATCCACAGCGTGGCCAACGACAAATTAAAACTTTCCATGAGTTTAATGAATTTGGAGCAAGGCTTCTAACACCACGGACAACAATGAATGACAATGTCGCACGGGTTTTATATATATGGCGTAAGGATACCTGACTACACCGCACTGTGCACAACGATAAATGACAATGTCGCACGGGTTTTATAAATATGGCGGAAGGCTACCCAACTACATCTGCACCGCAGACAATGACAATGTCGCATGGGTTTTATAAATATGGCGTAAGGCTAACTGACTACATCCACACTGTGGACAACAATGAATGACAACGTCGCATGGGCTTTATAAATATGGCGGAAGGCTACTCCCTTACACCCGCACCGCAGACAATGAATGAAAATGTCGCACGGGCTTTATAAATATGGCGGAAGGCTACTCCCTTACACCCGCACCGCAGACAATGAATGAAAATGACGCACGGGCTTTATAAATATGGCGGAAGGCTACTCCCTTACACCCGCACTGCAGACAATGAATGAAAATGACGCACGGGCTTTATAAATATGGCGGAAGGCTACTCCCTTACACCCGCACCGCAGACAATGAATGAAAATGACGCACAAGCTTTATAAATATGGCGGAAGGCTACTCCCTTACACCCGCACCGCAGACAATGAATGAAAATGACGCACGGGCTTTATAAATATGGCGGAAGGCTACTCCCTTACACCCGCACCGCAGACAATGAATGAAAATGTCACACGGGCTTTATAAATATGGCGGAAGGCTACTCCCTTACACCCGCACCGCAGACAATGAATGAAAATGACGCACGGGCTTTATAAATATGGCGGAAGGCTACTCCCTTACACCCGCACTGCAGACAATGAATGAAAATGTCACACGGGTTTCATGAATGTGGCGCAAGGCTTCTGACTACATCCGCCTCGCTAAAAAGATATCGCAAACGCCTTTTAAGTCGCCCAGATTGCGTTTCATTCCTATAGTATACATTTATAGGTTTATGTCTCATTTATAAATAAATTACGCCGTACATCCCGCCGGTCAATAAACCTTTTTATCCCTGCGTTTTACTGCGTGCCGCGATTTACATGCAATTATAAAATCCATACATACACATATATTAAGCACACTTAACGACGGGAATTTTAATCAGCGCGGCAGCGTCAGAGCCTGAGTGACATGTACACAGAAGATATAGGGAGGTAATTAGCGACCAGGCATCTCGGCATAATTGCCAAGGACTACATGCGTCTGATTGATCTTTTCGCCGTAATGCAAAGTGTTAACAGCTGTACAGCGAGGACGGATGTCACAGGGTATTGGATGTACCACCAGCCCCGGCTTGTAGGGAAGTGGAGGAGTCACAAAGGGGAGGGATTTCTCCACCCCTGCCTGATGCACGCCAGACAGGAAAGAGTTAAGCAAAGTTTCCCTGAACTTAAAACGCAGTTACCTCAGACACCAGGGAAGGACGGGAGGGAGCCAGCCTGGTCTAGTGCCTGGTCATGGTGGCTCTCTGGGCACTGTGGGGAGGACACTGGGAACACTGTCCCCGCTCACACACGTGCACTGTTCTCCTTAGCGTGGGGCCCCACACCAGAGGGCCCTTTGATGTGGAAGAGAGTTTCCACCTCGGAAACATGAAAGGCTTCCTCAGCAGCTTTGATTTGTATCACCTTGTGAGGGAAGTGAAGATTTCACATGGGAAGGGGCGGGGCTTCCAGTGGCCCGGGCACCATGAAAGACTTCTCTGAACTTTCTGCATCGACCTCCCCTCATTAACCCCTTCACTCCCAACAGGGATTTCACCGCAAAACAAGCACAGTGACCCTTCCAGGACCATTGCTCAGGGCTCATGCACACAGGCGTGGTACAACACTGATCTCTACGCAGGATCTTTCCGGCAAAATAAAAAACACGCATGTTATGTTCTGCCGAGTGCTTCCGTATTTGTGCGTTTGGACGCGTAAATGTCCGTAAACCGCTCACATGCATCAAATTCTTATTCTGTTCACTTCCTTAGTTTTTAGTTCCAGCGTGCATGCTTTTATAGCCATGACCGCAGAATTTTCTTTGATTTTACACAAAATTGCTGAGCGCAACTGCTGTGATCGGCCCGTGTGATGTGCAATCCTGCTTTGTTCAGATCCCTAAAAAAAATTAATGCGCATGGATCCTAAAGCAGAACTCAGGGGATGGTTTTTGTAAACCCTTGCAGTGGGGCCACCCACGCACTGCAAGGGTTAAGTGCTTGTTTGTGTCTAGTTGCGAAAAAAAGTTATACTCACCCAAATCACGAAGCTGGCTGGCAGCTATTCTGCTCTCTAAAACCTGTCTCCTCCTCCGCTGCAGTGATGGTATGTCCCTCCTTGGATTCTATACACTATCAAAACTGGAGAAGAATCTGGAGCAGTTGCCTATAGCAACCAATCAGCTTCTCTCTTCAGTTTAGGTTTGAAAAGTAAAGGTGGCTGCTGATTGGTTGCCATGGACAACTGCCCCAGATTCCGTCTGCTCCAGTTTCGATAAAATCCCCTTGATGACGAAAGCCTGTGACATACTGCATGCCATGCCGAGCCGGATGTTCACATGCAGTGCGTGAGCTGAGCGCGGCCAGAAGAAGGATTGCATATTTAGCCAGTCGGCTTGTGCTTAACAACCGCATGGACTTTTGCATCCTGATGCAGGGTTAGCCGATTGGCTGATGATGACATTTTTCTTCTCCGTACCCTCACTTTGCACGCGAAGCAGCGCGCACTTTCTCGTAGTGTGTCACAGACTTCAAGGGATCCTTAGACCGCTGCTGCAGATTGGGGAGGGGGCTGCAGGGACCGGTCTAAGGACAAGCCATCTCCGAGGATCGGGTGACTAACTTTTTTTTTTTTTCACCTAGACACAAACAAGTATTTAACTCTTGCCGTGCCGGGGTAGCCCCACTGCAAGGGTTAAGAATCGCTTTGCCCGGAGTGCTGCCTTAATGCAGTGGGGGGAATTTAACTGGAGCAGACAATATCTGGAGCGGTTGCCCATAGCAACCAATCAGCTTTTCTTTTCCATTTGCTCCATTAAGCTTTGAAAATGAAAGACAGAAGCTGATTGGTTGCTATAGGCAACTGCTCCAGGTTGTCTGCTCCAATTCGATTAATTCCCCTCAGCGTTTCTTTTTTACATCCATGTGCATGACCCCTTAGGGAAAAGGGGGGGGGGACAACTCCGGCCCTCCAGCTGCTGTGGAACTACAAGTCCCATGAGGCATTGCAAGACGGACAGTTACAGGCATGACTCGCAGAGGCAGAAGCATGTTGGGCTTTGTAGTTAAAGCACAGCTGGAGGGCCGCAGTTGCCCACCCTTGCCTTAGTCCCACGCACATGAGCATAATAGAATACTAATCCCTATGCAGTATCTTGCTGGCAGAAGGTTCCTGTTGGAAAATCCCATGTAATGGTCTGTGACATGCTTCCGTTTCCATGCATTTAAACGCAGAAACGTTCATATCCATAAAATTCCTCCAGCTGTTTTTAATGCCAACATGCGTGCGCGCACATGCATAAATTACACAGAAGTACTGACTGCAAACGCAGGATTTTCTCATTGAATTTTACGCAGTTGAATGCAGTGCAAGATTACCTAGCGCTGCGCTGCGGTTTGCATGGGCCCATAATATACAATACCGCTGCGTTCAGATCTGTAAATGAAAACTTTTCTGAATGCAGCATTGTTGTTTTTTTATTTTTTTACACCCGTGTGCATGGGGGAGGGCGCAACTCCGGCCCTCCAGCTGTGCTTTACCTACAAAGCCCAACATGCCTCTGGGAGTCATGCCTGTAACTGCCAGCCTTGCAATGCCTCATGGGACCTGTAGTTCCACAACAGCCAGAGTGGCCCATGCTGCCTTAGCGTGTCCATAAAACAACTTAGTAGGCAATTATGCCCGAACTGTTGTGCTCTGGAAAGAAAAGACTGGTCTTGGCGTATTAGTAGGGAAGTTCGGTCACAACCTTGGCTCTGCAGTTAGCATGGCCGCTCACATTAGCTGAGGGACTTGCAGCGAGCAGGATTGGTAATAGCACGCTGCACACAGACACAAGGAGGCTCAACTTTCTTCCTGTTTCATTTTAGTGACGGTGCAGCAGATCAGCTCCAGGGGATTTGGCTGCTTCTCTATCTGCTGCTGCTCTCTCTCTCTTCCTGAAGGTTTGAGAAAGAAAAGGGGGTGGGAGGGACACAGGCAATAGCACGGCTGTGTCAGTTTTGCATTGGGAGACCCGCCTAATTATTTGTTTCGATTGCATAGTGCTTCCCCTTGCCTGTTCAGCAGCAGGCTGAGTGTCTAATCCGGCCTGTGTGTGCTGAGCGAATGGCTGCAGGACGCGGCTCGGCCTGTTCAAGGTGCAAAGTGTAGCAACAGACATGAGCGTGCTGCGTGTCAAAGCAGGGCTGGGTTTGCTGGCTCGCAGTCGGCCGTGCATAAGCCCGTGGCCGCTGCTCTGCCGTCCTGGTGCTCGGCCCATTGTGGACATGTCTTACTCCCACCACTTTGTGGATTTTCACGGCTCTTCTATCCCCACCTCCATGAAAAAGCTGGTGGTCACTCAGCTGAGCCCTGACTTCAGAAAGGCTGTGACTTTAATGCCCAGTGTGGCAGTGCCAGTTCCAGGGGATGGAGATCTCCTCATCAGGAACCGGTAAGCAACTTATTGATATTCTATTTTCCCTCTGCCAGTGTAGCTCATTGGCCGTGTCACCCCCGTTATATTTGACACTAGAATAGTCTCTTGTTCCAACGATTGAGCTGACACGCCCCCCCATCAGCAAATCTATGCACACATAGGGCTTCATTTACTAAAGGAGTAAAGGCTGTTCACTCAGCAAAGTGAATTTCCACCTTGCAAAGGAATTTTCCCATAGCTAAGTCAATAAGGAGAAGGTTTGCTGACTTCCATCATCCGATCAGGTGCAAGCAAATAATCCTGTTTTGTTTTTTTTTTTACATTTCTTGCACTCCTAGTGGTTGATTTGCTAAAGGCTGTTAACTTCGCAAAGCGAATGTTCACTTTGCAAGGGAATTTTCCCACAGTTTAGTCAATAAGGAGAAGCTCTGCTGACTTCAGTCATCTGATCACGTGCAAGCAAATAACCCTGGTTTTATGGGGGGGGGGGGGGGGGGGGGGGGGCTTTTTTATTGTGTGTATATTAGTGTGTGTATTTCGTGGGGGGTGGTGGGGGGGGGGGGGGGGGGGATATGGGGTATTCTTTGAATTTCTACTGCGTTCACCAACGTAAGCGAAAATTCACTTCCAAAGTAAAAAGTCACTTTGCAAAGTAAACATACTGTACTTCCTTAATAAGTTAACCCCAGCGTGCTCACAGATAATGTACAACTGCAACCATAGCAATTGGAGAAAAAAAACAGCATTGGAGCGCACAGACTTGAAGCAAACTGTTGTACTACAACCACCACCATCCACAGAAGTCCCTCTGTTTCTATTATTCTGTCCCTGTGTCCCCATGCATTCAAGCTTGGCATACGGATTGTAGTTCATTCAGCAGCAGCTCCGTGCCTCTGTCGTTCTCTCACAGCGACAACTAAAAGGCAGGCTCCGGTTCACTTCCACTCCAGCACATAAAACATTTGGTTTTAATCCCTCACAGGCCAGCTTCCCTTTCTTTGCCTTCCCGTGATCCCAAAATAAGTTGTACCAGCCGCCATCTGGCGACGGTTCATTTGATTTTTACCGATCGGTCTTTTCAGCACCCTGCCAGATTCCCCACAGTCGCATCGCCCTGACACTTGCGTACAGCGATCGGCAACCAAATGACAAGACACTTTTCCTTACCTGGCTGTCAGGAATAGGATGGGAGGGGTGTGTTGCAGGTTGGCAGCACATAGGATGCAAAGCAGCTGGGCAGATCAGCCACAGATCAGAGTGTCAAGTCCCTCCCAGGATCCGGAGAGTGAGATGTGCTCATCCATTAAGGAGTGAGTGATTCCTCTCTGGGTGTTTGTTCAGCACGTCACTAACCTTTAGGAAGCACTGAATCAACAGGAAGGGAAATCACTCCTTTGCAGTGCTGCTTCTTGTCTCTAAGTCCTGTTATCTATCCACACCAACTCTATCATCCTGATCATCGCCTCCTTTACCCCAGGGATACGCAACCTACAGGCCGAAAGGCAGAAGTATCCAGGGCACTCAGACTCATCAGTTCTCAGTGTCTTGTTCTAGTCACCACTTATTTTTTTTTTCATATATTGCTAATAATTATTCAGTATCATTGTAACAGCAAGCACTGGGTAGAATAAACGCTCTGTGGGTGTATTCTGTTAATTGAATACAAATCAGTTAACTCTTTGCTACCCAGGCCAGAAACAAAATAAACCGATACACACAATTCTATATATTCCGTGAAGTGCTGCTGAATTTGTCTGCGCTATAGAAAGGAATGCATTACATTTTAAGAAAAACATTATAAAGCTGGAAACACTTTTTTTTTATTTAAATAGTCTATTTTATTGTCTTGTCACCCAATGTCACAAATAATATAAAGGAATATAATATAGAGGGTGCAGAAAGAGGTCCTTGCAAGGAGTATCTTCCAAAATAATAATGCCCTATAAAAAAAATAGGTTAGGTGTGGGCAAAAAATGTTGGGTATTGGAAAGGTGTATAAAATCAATTCTTAACATTAGCTTGTCAGTGTATGGCCTCGTGTTTTATCAGGACTTTTTCTACATGTCATTTTGAAAGATAAATTGAGTATTTTGTCTTATCATTAGGCCTAGTTTTCTATCCTATCTATCTATCTATCTATCTATCTATCTATCTATCTATCTATCTATCCTATCATTAATATCGATCATGCAGCCCCTCCCCAATGCTTTTTATGTTTGCAGCCATTTCTATCTCTGGGAACTGTTAAATCCACAAGGCTTCCATATTAAAAATAGCTCAGTGGGTGTGGTCAGTTTCACTACCACCTTTGCCAAATGATTTGGAAGCACCCATGAGTCTCGCCATATTTTGCTATTTTGTCAGCGGGCAACAGCCATCCACTTGCCACGGGAGTAAAGCTTACAGCTGAACCCAATTTAACCCGAAAACTTGCTCCTTTGGTGAAAAACAAAACAAAACACCATCTCGCCAACCTCGAAATATAAACACGTCCTATTTCATGCATTTTTTTTCAGGCATGCTCCTCTTAGGCATTGCAAAGCTATCTGTTTTTATTTCTTCACATTTTTTTTGCTATCGATATTTTATTAATAGAGCTGGCCTTAAAAATACAGGAACATGATGTTCCATCATTTCTGACCAAATTTGATTCACTGATTTATTTGTAAAAAGAAACAAAGAAATATTCTTGTATTATACCATAAATATTATTTCTCCATACAGCTACTTTATTTACAGTTGAATTCTATTTTAAACTTTTATATTTGCATTGAAACTATTTCCTGCCCTCCTGA